CACCTGTAGTCCCAGCTACTTGGGAGGCTGAGGCAGGAGAATGGCGTGAACATGGGAGGCGGAGCTTGCAGTGAGCCGAGATCACGCCACTGCACTCCAGCCTGGGCAACAAAGCGAGACTCTGTCTCAAAAAAAAAAAAAAAAAAAAAAAAAAAAAAAAAAAAAAAAAGGCCTGGCTGGGCACGGTGGCTCACGCCTAGAATCCCAGCACTTTGGGAGGTTGAGATGGGCGGATCACGAGGTCAGGAGATGGAGACCATCCTGGCTAACACGTGAAATCCTGACTCTACTAAAAATACAAAAAAAATGAGCTGGGTGTGGTGGCGGGCGCCTGTAGTCCCAGCTACTTGGGAGGCTGAGGCAGGAGAATGGCATGAACCCAGGAAGCAGAGCTTGCAGTGAGCCGAGATCGCACCACTGCACTCCAGCCTGGGCGACAGAGCAAGACTCTGTCTCAAAAAAAAAAAAAAAAAAAAAAAATTACTGTGCAAACACACGACCACTGAATTCAAGCTCACCCATCCCTCAGTTACTAAGACCCCAAACCAAGGAGTCACCCTTATTCTCTATCCCTCCCATGTGCCAACCCATCTGCCTCTGAATATATCCCAATTTAGAATACATCTCATTATCTCCACCCCCAGACCCTAGTCCCAGACACCTCTGCCATTCCTGGGATGACTCCAACAGTCCCACACTGTTCTCCCTGCCTCCTCCTTTTGACCCTCTATGGTCCATCATGCACACAGCAGCCCGGATGATCAGATCCTGTCACTCCCTGGCTTAAAATCTTCCAGTGGATTTTCACTACACTTGGATTTCCTTACCGAAGCCTGCCTGACCCTAGCCCCAGCCTCTTGGTCAGACCTTTTGCTCCTCAGGACACTGTAGCAACACTGGCCTTAGCTCTTATCCTCAACACACTCAGCTCATACCTAGATGGGTGCTTTGCACATGCTCCTTCTATTTGAAGTCTCCTCCAAAAATGCTGAACAGCTGTGTTTGTATCATCTAAGTCTTAGTTCAGATGTCACCTCTTCTACGAGGTCTTCCCCAAATATCCCAGTTAAAAATGCCATGTTCCCACCCCAATCTCTCTACCTTATCTTTCCCACAACACTCAGTAATACAATATTCTTATTTTTCTACTTATTTTCCCCAGGACTACAATTTAAGCCCCACTATTCTTGTTCACTACTGCATCCCCAGTGTCTAGAACAACGATAGGCAGTGTTAGACATTAAGCTTTTTCTTTTTTCTTCTTGAGACATTAAGCTTTTTCTTTTTTTTTCTTGAGAGAGTTTCATTCTTGTTGCCCAGGCTGCAGTGTAATGGCGCGATCTCGGTTCACTGCCACCTCCGCCTCCTGGGTTCAAGTGATTCTTCTGCCTCAGCCTCCTGAGTGGCTGGGATTACAGGTATGTGCTACCACACCCAGCTTATTTTGTGTTTTTATTAGCGATTGGGTTTCACCATGTTGGCCAGGCTGGTCTTGAATTTCTGATCTCAGGTGATGCACCCGCCTCGGCCTCCCAATGTGCTGGGAATACAGGTGTAAGCCACCCAGCCCGGCCAAAGCGTTCAAAGAACATTGTGAAGCAATTGGTTTGAAAGGCAATGATGTGCTCCCTTAATCCTCAGGATGGTGTCCCTGTTCCCTCTGTCCACATCTAAGATGGAAGCTTATTTAACAATTCATTCATTCACTCAATTCTAGTAACAACTGATATCTGGGAAGGTTATCACAGTGACCATACAACCAGAATCATCTATTTCACAATTCAAACCAAGATTTGATTTTAAGACAGCACAGAGAATTTCTGCCAAATATTTTTGTAGGTAACTGCCATCACAAATTTACATGCAAGAGGTTACATGACTTCCCCCAAGGTCACATGAAACCTCAAAACTCCAGTTATCTCAAGGCAAAACCAAACACCTAATAAACATATTTTCAACTGCTCAACCCCTCTTGTGTACTACTCAGTCATATGCACAAAAATAAATGCTAAAAAACAGAGAGTAAATGTAGTTTTTCAAAAATCTCACCTCCTTGGCTGGTTGCAGTTGGCTCACACTTGTAATCTCAGCACTTTGGGAAGCCAAGCCAGGAGGATTGCTTGAGCACAGGAATTTGAGACCAGCCTGGGCAACATCGTGAGACCCCCATTTCTTTAAAAAACAAAACAAAACAAAAACCCACATCCTATTTTCTTGTTTCTAATCTTACTATCTGGTAGCAGGTACTGTCAAACAAGAGTACACATTCAGCTTAGCACTGTTCTGAGGTTATGGTGCATCTATGGATCCACAGGTTGAGCTCGATGCCAAAGGGAAGGAGTATAGTGCCAGTTGCCAAGCCCCCAGGCTTCGGAATCAGACATGTCCAGATTCAAATCATACCTACTAACAACTACTGATAAGGGCCTAGGCCTTATTTTGTTTCGAGACGGAGTCTCGCTCTGTCACCCAGGCTGGAGTGCAGTGGCGTGACTGCAGCTTACTGCAACCTCCGCCTCCTGGGTTCAAGGGATTCTTCTGCCTCAGCCTCCTGAGTAGCTTGGACTACAGGCGCGAGCCACCATGCCTGGCTAATTTTTGTATTTTTAGTAGAGATGGAGTTTCACCATATTGGCCAGGCTGGTCTTGAACTCCTGACCTTGTGATATACCTGCCTCAGTCTCCCAAAGTGCTGGGATTATAGGCGTGAGCCACCGTGCCTGGCGACGTATTTATTTAGCAATTATACAGCCCTTACTAAGTACCAGGAAGGGTTCTAAATACTTTGCAACTATTACATGATTGAAACAGATATATTCTTTTTATTGTATCTAAAGGCAAGAAAACAGGTGCGGAGAGGTTGAGTTGAGTAACTTACCCAAAACCACAGCTATATGAGTATTAGAGTTATTACAGAATTCAAATCTAGGTTGTCTGATGCCAGAGTCCATGCTCTCAACCATAACAGTACGTTTGCTCTCTAATTCTGTTTCTTCATCTATAAATCAGGCTAATAAGCCTGACTCATCTCACAGAGTCATGTGAAATTAGTCATACACAGTAAGATAAATGCTAGGTACTCTTAGTGCTGGGAGTAACACCTATCATTCTATTATCTACCTTCACCTTTGGTCCAGCCAAGGAAAGAAAAATACGAATTTGGCTGAGAAAGATCTCCAAGGCCCTCTGCAGTCAGGTACATTAGAATACAGTGGAAGTTCCACAAGAACAGGGACTGTCTTTGCTTACCACGGTATTCAGAACAAGCAGTGGGCGCTCAGTAAATATATGGTGAATGAAGTAGGAATGAATTGACTACAGACATAGGGTTCTGCATACATGACTATTAAGGTGGTAACCATCATTTCTCAAATGTATCTAAGCACAAAAGAACAAAAGAGGTAAATGTACAAGCTTCTCAGAGAAACCGTGTTAGTTGGTTACTTGAGACAGCCTGGTTATTGGGAGGCAGTGTGCAAACTGCATAATATTGTTCATTCGTCTCAGCTGAAGGAACAAATAAGGAGACCAGGATTTTAATCCTGACTCTGCTACTGGAAGTCACCCAGGCTCTCAAGGTCTTAAATTTTCCACCTGCAAAAGAGGTTAGTCGACATGATGGTCGTAAACTCATTCTACTTACTCATCACTTTCTAACATCCAGTTGCTGAATATACATTTGTTTAATGAAGATCATCCTCAATTGACAATGGATTCAGGAAGTAACTTACTCAAGGTCACAGGATCAGGAAAGAATATGAACTACAGCCCAGATCTCCTTTTACACCAGTCTGATAGTCATACTTTCCAAGATCCTTTTCAGTTCAAAATGGTGTGATATTATTCTTCTCTTCCAAGTTCGAGAACTCTATAATCATTTATCTTACCAAATAATCTTGACTGACTCCCTTAACTCATGAGACAGGAAGAAACAACTGTTTCCACATCATTAACCTAGAGAATCAAAAGACTTGAAGAGGCCAGATGGGGTGGCTCACACCTGTAATCCCAGGACTTTGGGAGGCTGAGGCAGGCCGATTACTTGAGGTCAGTAGTTTGTGACCAGCCTGGTCAACATGGTGAAACCCTGTCTCTACTAAAAATACAAAAATTAGTCAAGCATGGTGGCACACGCCTGTAACCCAGCTACTCGGGAAGCTGAGGCAGGAGAGTCACTTGAACCTGGGAGGCAGAGTTGCAGCCAGCCAAGATTGCACCATTGCACTCCAGCCTGGGTGACAGAGCAAGACTCTGTCTCAAAGGAAAAAAAAAAGACGTGAAGAGATAATTAGGTGCAATCGTTTGCCTTTGCCCAGAATTGAGATCAGAAATATTTTCTTTCAGATAAAAGATTTTATTTTAAACCACATGGTTTAAATGTAAGCAATGTGATTAAAAATAACTTCAAGTACCACAATGCTTCCTGAGAGTACAATGCATAACAACTTGTAAAATTCTATTATCAAAGTTGCGCCACTGGATCCAAAAAAAGATTCACAAAGTTAACTGTGAAAGGTTGACAGGGAATGTCTACAGATGCTTGCTTCATTTTTATTAACGAAGGACACATTTGACATTGAACCTTCGAGTATAACACCTTCCCAGGGCTGTCAAGTTAGAAGTGAAAAAATCATCTGGCAGTCGGTCAGCTTTCTAGATAGCTCCTAACGGGGGAGTCAAGGTCAAACTGGAGTCTCCTTATCCTCCCATATTTGACAAGCAACTTACTGTGAGCTCAAAGTATTCGTACTGCATTCTGACAAACAGAAATAATCGCACCCTGGTTCAGAAAGTTCTGTGAGGGCAGGCTGACATAAACAAGAACTCAGTGGTGGTAGGGCCCATGCTTCTGCCACAGCACTTCGGTGACACTCTAAGAACCAGAACTTCCACCTACTTTCTACCAGTTTTATCACCTATCAAATGAGAAAAATCATCTCATTCCTATGATTACATGAATCAAATAATATTATGAAGAATTAAAAAACAGTCCTCAAATCTTGTGCAAACGTGAGAGACTATTATTATTATTTACTACGTAGGGGCCCAGAAGACCACCTCCCCCCCTCGGGCATTCCATGTTCCGCAGGGTCCTCAAAAGGTGGTACAGGGTCCTAGTTTCTTCTCCAGACTCCAGGCCTGGCAACCGTAGATGCTGTCATGTCTCTGTTGCTAAGAGATGGGAAGTGAGGCCTCAGGAACTGGGCCTAGAAGGCTCAACAAGGACCGCGCCCCCTAGTCACCTTGTCCTCACCTTGAGGAATGGAAAGACACCCCACGGGAGCAGGGAATGCTGTCCTCAAAAAGAAAGAGGTGCCTCCGCTCTTCACCCGGCCGCCGCTGCTTGGGCCCACGCTTCTTGCGAAGCGGGGACAGGGCCAGGAAAGCTGACTGTGCCGGGGACGCCTTGACCTAGGGCACCAGAGGAGCGGACACGGGTGCCGGGCCCACAACCGGAACAGGTACACGAGAAGTTGGCCCCAGGTCGGGCCCGCCTCGCCCTGCCTCGCCCATAGCCGCCGGCACAGTAGGAGGCACCCCGCCCCCGCGAACCCAGAGGTCCCTGAGCTCGCTCACCTGCAGCCGAGTCACCAGTAGGCTGTAGGGCGCCATTTTGTGCACTGACAAAGATGAGGTCGCATGCAAGTGACGTCCCACACGGCGCCTTTTAAAGCCTTTGGGCAGGGGCGTGCCCGGAAGAGTGGGGCGTCACGGTGAAGGCGAGGCCTCCCTAGAGGCGCCAGAACCCTGTGAACGCAATGAGCGGAGCTCAAGAGTAATGAACAGACACGCAAGAGGAAATAGAACTGCCTAAAGACACTTGCAGAAGTAGATACCAAGCACAAATATGTTTTATCCAAGAACAAACTTTAGTTATCTCTGCCATCCAAATCTAGGAGTGTTTTAAGACTTTCATGCACCTGCCAGGACCTGGCCACCCAGCGGCGACAGAAACTCGCGCGAGAGCAAGAGGGGCCTGGTGCAAGGATCGTAAACTGACGGAAGCTTAGAGGACCAATCACAGCGACGTGGAGGCAGGAACAATGGGAAATAAAGGTCGGACGGAAGTTCCCGAAGCTTCCGGTGGCCGGCTTAATTGGGAGCTATGGCTAAACATCATCCTGATTTGATCTTTTGCCGCAAGCAGGCTGGTGTTGGTGAGACTGCGCCCTGCCCCTGTCTGTCTGGGTAGGGGTGGTATTAGGAGCTGGGGGGTCGGGGGTTCCTATCACTTCCTTAGTGGCTTGCCCAGCTGGCGCCACGTTTCCCGCCTCTCGGGCGCGGGGTGTTGTAGGAACGCGCAGGTTTGTGGCCCCTGATGAGAAGAGGGCGGGGGTGCGCGTGCTGGGAGCCCCAGGCAGGTATCGGGGTTGGGGTCTGGGCCAGGTCCACAGAAACTCAGAGCTTGCCCCAGGACGTTGGAGGAGATTCAGAAGGGTGCTTGGGCTGTGGGTTTGGTTCATTTGGAAATTTGTAATGATAAAATGGCTATCCGCAGGTATCACTGCAGTCCTTATTCATGTCCCTACCCCCAGCTCGAGGATGTACTTCCCGTTTGTCAAAGCCTTTATTCTAATTGTACTTTTTAACCATCTTTCATCTTGCAGCCATCGGAAGACTGTGTGAAAAATGTGAGTGGAACCTACCGTCCCAACAGCCCACCCTTCCCACTCCCAGTTTCTGTGGAACCAGCAAAAGTGCCACAAAGAGGGCTTTGAGTAGATGTCCCTGGAAGTATTTGAACACTGAATGCTGGACTTCAGCCAAAGGCCCCTCTGTCTCCCCACTGCCACTTGCACATTTAACGCTATATCTCTCTAGTTTTCAACAGGAAAAGTCGCCAGAGTAGCATGACCCCTCCCTAACACACAGCACTTTGCCGGCAATTATATAGGCTTATCATCTCTGAGGTGATTTTCTAGGCTCTTTACATATGTTAATTGATAAACTTTTGTATATGTTGAGGGACTTGAGATGGATACTGGGTAAACCAAGTTTCATGATGCCAAGAGGAGGGTCCTAAAGTCACTGTCAAAAGGAGACTAGTGTATTTCCCCATGGCAGGAGATAGCAGAGGACTGAAGAACTTGTTGTGAGTATGACTCCATTCTCTTCCTTACAGGTGATGGCAAGTGTGTGATTTGTGACTCCTATGTGCGTCCCTGCACTCTGGTGCGCATATGTGATGAGTGTAACTATGGATCTTACCAGGGACGCTGTGTGATCTGTGGAGGCCCTGGGGTCTCTGATGCATATTATTGTAAGGAGTGCACCATCCAGGAGAAGGATGTAAGTGTACAGCTTTCCATCTGACCTTTCCTGCTTTTGTTTAGTAATACTTTGCCATCCACTGCAATCTCCTATGGTCTATGGAGATTACTGTGTTCATCTAGTCATCTAGGTTATAATTTCTTCAAGTTCTGTGAGTCAAACTGGGTGTAGTTCAATAAAAGGCAGTTATTTTGCATCAAGGGGAAAAATGCAAGGGAAGCAAATCTTTATCAAGACCAGCAATTTGAAGAGCCCTCTCTCTATTCATGTTTCTCTGTGATTATTCTTATTCAGAAATGACATCCGGCTGGGCGTGGTGGCTCACACCTGTAATCTCAGCACTTTGGGAGTCCAAGTTATGAGGATCACTTTAGTCCAGGAGTTCAAGACCAGCCTGGGTCACAGAGCAAGATCCCATCTCAACAACAACAACAAAAAACAATTTGGTTTTTTGGTTTTGTTTTTTTTTGTTTGTTTTTCTTTTTTTTGAGACAGGGTCTCTTGCTCTGTGGCCCAGGCTGGGGTGCAGTTGCATGATCACGTGCAAGGCTCACTGCAGCCTTGACCCCCCCGGGCTCAAACGATCCTCCCACCTCATCCTCCCAAGTAGCTGGGACTGCAGGCATGCGCCACCACACCTGGCTAATTTTTTTTTGTAGAGACAGGGTCTTGTCTTGTTTCCTAGGTTGGTCTCGAACTCCTGGGCTCAAGTGATCCTCCTGCCTTAGCCTCACCAGGTGCTGGGATTACAGGCATGAGCCATCACTCCTGGCCAGAAAAACATATTTTTCATTAGTCGGGTGTGCTGGTGTGTACCTGTGGTCCCAGCTACTTGGGAAACTGAGGCAAGTGGAGGATCACTTGGGCCCAGGAGGTCAAGGCTGCAGTGAGCCATTTTCATGCCACTGCACTCCAGCCTGGGTGACAGAGACCCTGTCTGTTTATAAGGCCTGTACAGCCCATGTTGTGTCATAGCCACTCATTAATGTCTCAGATCTATCATTAAGCACTATTTGGGTGTATATCGTGACAAAGTTGAATTTGGGACGATTCAAGTTGACTTCAGCTTTAAGCAGGTAACAAGTACCTTTGGTTTAATATTGCAGAAGTGATTGTGGCCCTGCATCATGACTTTTTTTTTGTCCCTTGACACTGCATAGTGGCAGTAGTTACTTACTATTCAACTCTCTGAGCCAAATGCCAGTAGAGAGAGCTTATAGACCAGTGCTACAGGCAAGGTTTACCCCATTTCTTTCGTTTAGTATTGGCAGCAGGGTTTTTGTGGGGGAAAACTATGAATCAGCTTGTTTTCTTCAAAAAACAAAACAAAAGGAAGTATGATACAGTCTTACTAGGTTAATGATAGTACCCAGTTATCTAATTTGTTTTTTATTTTTTGAGACGGAGTTCACTCTTGTTGCCCAGGCTGGAGTGCAGTGGCACAATCTCGGCTCACCGCAATCTCCGCCTCCCGGGTTCAAGCAATTCTCCTGCCTCAGCCTCCCGAGTAGCTGGGATTACAGGCATGCGCCACCACGCCCAGCCCATTTTGTATTTTTAGTGGAGAGGGGGTTTCTCCATGTTGGTCAGGCTGGCCTCAACTCCCAACCTCAAGTGATCCGCCCACCTTGTGTCTCCCAAAGTGCCGGGATTACAGGCCTAAGCCACTGCGCCTGGCCCAGTTACCTAATTTAATTCTAATTTAGAGTAAGGCAAAAGATAAATAATTCTTCATATTTCCATGAGCAAAGAATAGGTCTTTTATAGATGTTATCACACCTTGTTCCTCACAATAAGTTTGAGAAATAGGGATGATTATTATGATGCCCATTTTATAGTTCCTCTGACAAGCCCAGGCTGTTCAACGAAACCTTGTAGTGTCCCCATTTCACCACGTTGTACTTTTATTTATATATTTATTTTATTTTATTTTATTTTTTGAGACAGAGTTTCATTCTTGTTGCCCAGGCTGGAGTGCAGTGGCGCCATCTCGGCTCACCACAACCTCCACCTCCCGGGTTCAAGTGATTCTCCTGTCTCGGCCTCCCGGGTAGCTGGGATTACAGGCGCCTGCCACCACCCCCAGCTAATTTTTGTATTTTTAGTAGAGACGGGGTTTCATTGTGTTGGCCATGTTGGACTCAAACTCCTGACCTTGTGATCCACCTGCCTGGGCCTCCCAAAGGGCTGGGATTACAGGTGTGAGCCACCACGCCTGGCCTTATGTTACCCTTTAATGTGTGCTTTTGGGATGTTTCCATGGTGAAGGCAACAACGCCAGTACCTCATTTCATGCACTTGGATCCTGCCTACCGCCAGTAATTGGGAGAGATTGGGCCAGATAAGACTACACCATTGGGCCAGGCACAGTGGCTCATGCCTGCAATCCTGGCACTTTGGGAGGCCAAGGTAGGTGGATCACCTAAGGTCAGGAGTTTGAGACCAGCCTGGCCAACATGGTGAAACCCCGTCTCTACTAAAAACACAAAAATTGGCTGGGCGCAGTGGCTCACGCCTGTAATCCCAGCACTTTGGGAGACCGAGGCAGGCGGATCATGAGGTCAGGAGGTCGAGACCATCCTCGCTAATACGGTGAAACCCTGTCTCTACTAAAAAAATTAAAAAATTAGCCGGGTGTGATAGTGGGCGCCTGTAGTCCCAGCTACTTGGGAGGCTGAGGCAGGAGAATGGCATGAACCCAGGAGGTGGAGCTTGCAGTGAGCGGAGATCACGCCACTGCACTCCAGCCTGGGCGACAGAGTGAGACTCCGTCCCAAAAAAATAATAATAACAAAAATAAATAAAAAGAATACAAAAATTAACCGGCGTGGTGGCACACATCTGTGATCCCAGCTACTTGGGAGGCTAGGGCAGGAGAATTGCTTGAACCCAGGAGGCAGAGGTTGCAGTCAGCTCAGCCGAGATCAGAACATTGCACTCCAATCCGGCAACTAAGAGCAAAATTCCTTCTCAAAAAAAAAAAAAAAAACCAGTACACCATTGAATCTTCTATTGTTTAGGGAGATGAGAAAGGTCCTAAAGTACCAAAAACATGATTTCCGTTAGTGATTTGGACCTTTCTCTTGTCCGCAACTCCGATTTGCATTTATCTTCAACTATGAAGTCATATCCTGCTGTCCGGAAATCCGAATCTAGTCTACTAGCTAGATGACACTTCATTAGAGGCAGGACTTTGGTTTGTCTATTCGCCTCTCCTTTTCCTTAGGCTGTGGTATGGTGCCTGACATGCGGGGCAAGCATTGGTACATGTGTTTTGGTGCTGTCCCTGTAAGTCATCCAGAGGTATCCCCTTTAGGGTGTCTAATACATAGTAGGTGTTTGTTAACTTCTGGTCTATAAGCAGTGAAAGCATAATAAGGTAACAGCAGTGAAGAAAAGTTACAAACAGTTCCTAAACTAGCTACAGGGTAGCTATTTAAGCCATTTAAGACAGCATTTTCTTGAATTTTTGTATGGTTCTAGCTAGAGTTCTTATCTAGCATAAGTTTGCAACCAGAGAATGCTTAATAAATGTTAATTGCTGTCTGACTCCTCTGAATGTGGTGTGTGAACTGATACATTTGGATCCTCATGCCTCATTCTGTCCCTGAGACTTATTCTAGACGTCACTTCCCCGCCTTCACATTATACACGAATGTTCTGAGGACATTTGAGATGGAATCTAGCTCACATTTTCAGCGCTAGTTTCCAAGGAACACAAAGTCTAGTGACATGATCCAGGCTCTCAGCCTTACAGATCATCACGTAGATTAAGTGGCCAAGGCTCTTTCCTATGCAGAAACCTTCCTACAACCAAGGCAACCCTTGTTATTGTTCTCTTCCTGCAACTTTCATAATTGATAAGGGAATTAGACAGGTAAGCTAAGCCAGGTATTCTCATTTATAATTTTTCAAAGCCACAAGAATAACCAGGAGACAGGGATGATGTCTATGGACATTGCTACCAGAGGACTCATTGGTAGGTTCTTATGGTGCCGCATCGTGTAATCCCCTTAATCTTGATTCCTTTTGCTTACCATTTTCCTCAGTTCTCCCAACCAGAACATAAGAAAAATAGCACTAACATTTATGAAGCTCTTAATATATGCCAGGTGCTTAGCTGAACATTGTTATCCAAAAGTTCCGTGTGATACAGATGAGGATGCTAAGGCTTAGAGACGTTAAGCAACTTGGTTAGTCCAAGGTCAAGTGGCTAATGAGTGACAGATCAGGACTAGAACCTAGGAGGTCTGACTCTTTTTTAATTAATTAATTAATTTTTTTTTTTTTTTTTTTTTTTTTTTAGTTTTTTGAGATGCAGTTTTGTTCTTGTTGCCCAGGCTGGAGTGCAATGGCATGATCTTGGCTCACTACAACCTCCACCTCCCAGGTTTAAGCGATTCTCCTGCCTCAGCTTCCCAAGTAGCTCGGATTACAGGCACACGCCACCATGCCCAGCTCTTTTTTTTTTTTGAGACAGTCTCACTGTGTCGCCCGAGCTGGAGTGCAGTGGTGTGATCTCGGCTCACTGCAACCTACACCTCCTGGATTCAAGCAATTCTTCTGTCTCAGCCCCCTGAGTAGCTGGGATTACAGGTGTGCACCATCACGCCCGGCTAATTTTTGTATTTTTAGTAGAGACAGGGTTTCACCATGTTGGTCAGGCTGGTCTTGAACTCCTGACCTTGTGATCCACCCACCTCGGCCTCCCAAAGTTGCTGGGATTACAGGCGTCAGCCACCGTGCCCAGCCTAATTTTTCTTTCTTTAGTAGAGACGGGGTTTGACCATGTTGGTCAGCCTAGTCTCAAGCTCCTGGCCTCAGGTGATCCACCCACCTCGGCCTTCCAAAGTGCTGGGATTACAGGCATGAGCCACCGCGCCCAGCCTGACTCAGTGTTTAACCTTTTACTTATTCATTCTCATCTTTGCACCTCTAAGGAGAAAAGTTAAAAGTTAATGTAAATTAATTAAATTTTCGGGCTAGCTAAGCTGTAAGTAGGCTGGGGGCAGTGGCTCATGCCTGTAATCCCAGCCCTTTGAGAGGCCCAGGCAGGCAAATCACGAGGTCAGGAGTTTGAGACCAGCCTGACAAACATGATGAAACCCCATCTCTACTAAAAATACAAAAATTCGCTGGGCATGGTGGCGGGAGCCTGTAATCCCAGCTACTCAGGAATCTGAGGCAAGAGAATCACTTGAACCCAGGAGGCAGAGGTTGCAGAGCGCCGAGATAGCACCACTGTATTCCAGCCTGAGCAACAGGGTGAGACTTCGTCTCAAAAAAAAAAAAAGCTAACCTGTAAGTAAAGAACGGAACTGTACAAATTGGAGGATTGGGTGATACCATCACTTGGTACCTTCCAGGAATATTTAGGTATCTATAAGGATAGTTTGTAAACCTTGACCTGATCTAGTCGTCGTCTTTTACAGCTGAGGAATAATAAAAGTCCCAAGAGAAGCAACTTGCCCACATTTGCGTCAGTAAGGCACAGTTTAAGCTGTCATCATACCATGAGTTTCATAGCCTCTCTAAAGGGTTTAGAGTGCTGTTATTATGTTTAATATCAGGCCTTTGTCCAGGAGAGGCAGCTAATGCCTTATTTTTACAAGGACATTAAATATAGATTACATTGCTTACTTGGGTTCACCTAGCAAGCTATTGGTGGGTGGCTTCCTTGGTACACCAGGCTTCAGAGATGGAAGCTGTCAATGTAATGACTTGATACATGTTTTCTAGGAGATCCTAAAATGTTAGTGTTAGCTTTGTGTGTTTTCGGCGATTTTTGTAGTTGTTAACGTCTGCCCCCAAAGAAAGATGCTAGTTGAGTTAGAAATGAGTTGGCTAAGGACTTGATTAATTCATACTATCACCTAATATCACAGGACTTAAACTCTGACATGGGTGTTTAATAAAATCAACAGACCTGTAGGGCTTTTCCAGTTACAGCTTCCCCGGTTTTTCTTCCATCATCCCTAATCAACTGGTGGAGTCGTCATTTCTGTAGAACACAGCTTCCCAGGGGCTTCACTGAAAGCACTCAAGCTCATCAAATGGCCAGGGCAGCCTGTCATGACAAATCAGTGCATGGTCTGTCAACAGCCACCTATCACTAGCACAGTAGTGCTCTGTACCCCCAAGACCATGTGTTAAATTAAGTGAATTAATGAAGACACATAAAACCCATTATTCTCCTATGGTATTTAAAATGTAAGGGCTGGGCGTAGTGGCTCACGCCTGAAATCCCAGCACTATCAGGAGGCCAAGGCAGGTGGATCAGAAGGTCAAGAGATTGAGACCATCCTGGCCCACGTGGTGAAACCCCATCTCTACTAAAAATACAAAAATTAGCTGGGCGTGGTGGCGCGCCTCTGTAGTCCCCACTACTCGGGAGGCTGAGGCAGGAGAATTGCTTGAACCCGGGAGGCGGAGGTTGCAGTGATCCGAGATCACGCCACTGCACTCCAGCCTGGCAACAGAGTGAGACTCCGTCTCAAAAAACGTAAAAGTAAGGTATGGCCGGCCGCAGTGGCTCACGCCTGTAATCCTAGCACTTTGGGAGGCTGAGGCGGGCAGATTGCCTGATCTCAGGATTTCGAGACCAGCCTGAGCAGCATGGTGAAACCCTGTCTCTACTAAAATACAAAAGACATAAGCCGGGCGTGGCGGCATGCACCTGTAGTCCCAGCTACTCAGGAGGCAGAGGCAGGAGAATTGCTTCAACTTGTGATGCGGAGGTTGCAGTGAGCCAAGATCGTGCCACTGCATTCCAGCCTGGCGACAGTGAGATTTTTTTCTCAAAAAAAAAAGAAGAGTTTAGGCCGGGCGCGGTGGCTCACGCCTGTAATCCCAGCACTTTGGGAGGCCGAGGCGGGCGGATCACAAGGTCAGGAGATCGAGACCATGGTGAAACCCCGTCTCTACTAAAAAAATAGAAAAAAATTAGCCGGGCGCAGTGGCGGGCGCCTGTAGTCCCAGCTACTTGGGAGGCTGAGGCAGGAGAATGGCGTGAGCCCGGAAGGCGGAGCTTGCAGTGAGCCGAGATTGCGCCACTGCACTCCAGCCTGGGTGACAGAGTGAGACTCCGTCTCAAAAAAAAAAATTAAAAAAAAATAATAATAAAGAAAAAAAGAAGAGTTTCATAGTCTACCTCAACTGTATCATATTAGCAGCAGATATGGCTAAGATAAATGGCTAAACCGTTAATCCAAAAGTTATAAAATGGTCTTTTTTTTTTTTTCTTGAGACGGAATTTCTCTCTTGTTACCCAGGCTGGAGTGGAGTGCTATGGCGTGATCTCGGGTCACTGCTACCTCCGCCTCCTGGGTTCAAACCATTCTCCTACCTCAGCCTCCTGAGTAGCTGGGACTACGGGCACGCACCACCATGTCTGCCTAATTTTTGTATTTTTAGTAGAGACAGGGTTTCACCATGTTGGCCAGGCTGGTCTTGAACTCCTGACCTCAGGTGATCTACCTGCCTCGGCCTCCCAAAGTGCTGAGATTACAGGCATGAGCCACCGTGCCTGGCCTACAAATGATCTTTCGTAAGTGCTAGGAGATAGGGAAGAAACTGATCTTGGCCTCCCAATGAAGGAGATACTGATGTTTGGACACATTTACAAACCCATTTATTGGGTTTTTCAAATACTAAAATGAGAATTTGAACTCTGACCAATTTTTTTTTTCAAGAGATGGGGTTCTCTCTGTGTTGCCTACAGTGGGGTACAGTAGCTGGCTATTCACAGGCATGATCATAGCTCACTACAGCCTCAAACTCCTGGGCTCCAGCAATCCTCCTGCCTCGGCCTTCTGAGTAGTAGCTGGGACTAAAGGCACATGCTACCACACTGGGCTTAAATTTTTTATCTTAAGTCACTCTTGGTTCAGGCTCAAAGACTTAACAACTTCTCTGTTCTGTTTTCCAGAGAGATGGCTGCCCAAAGATTGTCAATCTGGGGAGCTCTAAAACAGACCTCTTCTATGAACGCAAAAAATACGGCTTCAAGAAGAGGTGATTGGTGGGTGGCCCCTTCCTCCCCCCAACATCAAGCTGCTGCAGCTGCCAGAAAACATGCCTACTACTACCAGCAGAAAGGGAGCAGAGACCATAGCATCACCAGGAGTGCCTGCTAGTGTACTGGCAGCTTGCCACCCCCTCCTCTTCCTTCACCCAGACGTGGTAGGGATGGAAAAGGATTCTTCACAGAGCACTCTGGCACACCGTATCAGAGAAAAGTTGGTAGATTAGTTAATGATTTTTCTTGAATTCGAGAAGCAGAGATCTGTTCTCCATATTGATATGTTCTCCCTCAACCAAGATCTTCTAAAAAGAAGTAATATTTTAGTCTTCTGCTTGAGGAGTTGGCTGTGAAGCTACAGCCGGTGAAAACCATGTTCTTGCAGCAGCTCTGGTGGCAGCTGTCCTTGAGGAACTTTTGGTGTGTGGTGGGAAGCTATCAGAACAAGAAATGTAGGCATTTACTGTTTTGGGGGGAGAGGGAGGGGCGCTCCGCCATCTTGAAAGGCATTTATTCGTTTAACACTTGTGCCCGTGTCATGTTATTTTCCTTTTGAGAAATTGGGAACTCTGTTGCTATTATGTTAATAAAGTTGGTGTTTATTTTCTGGTAGTTACCTTCCCCATTTAACTTTAGGAATTTATTTTAGTCATCCAGGAATTTGTGATTCAAAACAAGAGGTAGTTGCCGGGTATGGTGGCTCACACCTGTAATCCTAGCACTTTGGGAGGCTGAGACGGGCGGATCACGAGGTCAGGAGATCGAGATCATCCTGGCTAACACGGTGAAACCCCATCTCTCCTAAAAAAATACAAAAAGTCAGCCATACGTGGTGGTGGGCGCCTGTAGTCCCAGCTACTTGGGGGGCTGAGGCAGGAGAATGGTGTGAACCCGGGAGGCAGAGCTTGCAGTGAGCCCAGATCGCACCACTGCACCCCAGCCTGGACGACAGAACGAGACTCCGTCTCAAAAAAAAAAAAAAAAACCAGAAGTAGTGGTATTGGTTAAGTACTCTGTCCTCTTATTACCACTGGAAGGAATTCAAAACCACCCATACCTTTCATTATAGATAAATCAAAGTCATTTTTAGAAACGTACTATTTTTTCCTTCCTATCCAACTTTAATTTTGAATTGAAGAGATGGCTTCCAGTGATGGTGGAGGCTGGGCACAGTGGCCCATGCCTATAATTCCAGCACTTTGGGAGGCTCAGGCAGGCAGATCTTGAGCCCAGGGGTTCAAGACCAGCCTGGGCAACATGGCAAAAACCCATCTCTATGAAAAATATGAAAACTAGTCAGGTATAGTGGCATGCACCTATAGTTCAGTCCCAGCTACTCAGAAGGCTGAGATGGTAGGATCACTTGAGCCTTGGAGATTGAGGCTGCAGTGAACAGTGATCCTGCCACTGCACACCAGCCTGGGAGACAGAGCAAGACTGTCTCCAAAAAAAAAAAAAAAAAAAAAAACGGGCTGGGCACAGTGGCTTGCACCTGTATTCCTAGCACTTTGGGAGGCCAAGGCAGGCAGATCACTTGAGGCCAGGAGTTCAAGATCAGGGTGGCCAACATGGCGAAACTCCGTTGCTACTAAAAATACAAAAATTAGCCAGGCATGGTGGCACACACCTGTAGTCCCAGCTACTCGTGAGGCTGACACAAGAGAATTGCTTGAACCTAGGAGGTAGAGGTTGTGGTGAGCTAAGATGATGCCATTGCACTCCAGCCTGGGCAGCAAGAGGAAAACTCCATCTCAAAAAAAAAAAAAAGGTTCCAGTATAACCCAGAGGATGCACAAAGGAAGGGTTCTAGGCCTAGCTTGGAGGTGCCTCAGGAAGGCAGGGGAAGGCCATAGTCATAGGGCTACAGCACTTTCTGGGCTCTTTGAGCCACCCCTTTCTCTGCACTGCAGCCATAGGCTCCTTTTCAGTTCCACAACTGCTGCTTTTCTTTTTGCTTCTGCTTTGAGTTTATTTTTAACATGTTGATCCCTCCAGAATGCTTGTGCCCCCCCTCCCTTTTACTCAGCTAACTCCTACTCCCTTCTGACCTTAGCCAAATATTTCCTCAAACATGCCTCTCTGGACCCTTAATGTAAGTTCCCCTGGTACTCCCACATAGCATCATATGTGTTTTTTTTTTGGTTGGTTGGTTGGTTTTGAGACGGTGTCTCTGTCACCCAGGCTGGAGTGCAATGGCACGATCTTAACTCACTGCAACCTCTACTTCCCAGACTCAGCACTCCTCCCACCTCAGGCTCTGGAATAGCTGGGACTACAGGCATGCACCACCCTGCCCAGCTAGTTTTTTGGGGTTTTTTTGTTTTGTTTTTGAGATGGAATTTTGCACTGTCGCCCAGGCTGGAGTGTAATGGCGCAATCTCTGCTCACTGCACTCTCCGCCTCCCAGATTCAAGCGATTCTTCTGCCCCAGCCTCCCTAGTAGCTGGGATTACAGGCACCTGCCACCACGCCCCGCTAATTTTTTGTATTTTTAGTAGAGATGGGGTTACACTATGTTGGTCAGGCTGCTCTTGAACTCCTGGCCTCCCAAAGTGCTGGGATTATAGGCATGAGCCACCAAGCCTGGCCTGTTTTTTGTAATTTTTATAGAGACAAGGTCTCAATGTGTTGCCCAGACTGGTCTCAAACTCCTGGATTCAAGTTACCCTCCTGCCTTGGCCTCCGAAAGTGCTGTGAATACAGGCATGAGCCACCACACCCAACCCTGTGTGTTTTCTTAGCGTTTGGTGATCAGTGAAAGTAACCTATGACTGTGTCTACAAGAGCAGGAAGCAAGTTTGTTTTGCCCAGTAGGTAGCAGGTAGGTGTTTAGTATTGAATGAATACTTAAAGTCAAGGAAACTGGATAATAAACTGGGCTTTGATATGTCAGAACCTACAGGCAAAGGGTGCAGTAGGCAAATAAAGGCATTTGTTGGGGGTGTCAACTTAAGCAAAGACAGTCGTGAACAGGGTGCTATATATTGATTGATTCGGATACGGTCTCACTTTGTCCCCCAACCTGGAGTGCAGTGGCATGAACACGGCTCACTGCAGCCTCAACCCCCAGGGCTCAAACAGTCCTCCCAACTCAGCCTCCTGAGTAGCTAGGAGGTGAGAACCAGCATGCCTGGCCTTTTTTTTTTTTTTTTTTTTTTTTTTTTGTCTTTTTTGTAGAGACAGGGTTTCACCATATTGACCAGACTGGTCTCGAACTCCTAAGGTCAAGCGATCCGCCTGCCTTGGCCTTCCAGTGTGTTAGGATTATAGGCATGAGCCACTACCCCCAGCCTAGGGTGATGTGTTTAGGTAGCTCTGAGCAATTCTAATCAATCAGTGAGGTGATTGCTATGGTTTGAATGTTTGTCCCCTCCAAAACTCATGTTGAAACTTGATCCCCAGCGTGGCAGTGTTCAGAAGTGGGACCTTTAGGAAATGATTGGGTCATGAGGGCTCTGCCCGCATGAGGGGATTCATCCTTTCACTATTTTTGTTTTGTTGAGACAGAGTCTGTCACCCATGCTGGAGTGCAGTGGCGTGATCTCGGCTCACTGCAACCTCCACCTCCCAGGTTCAAGCGATTCCCCTGCCTCAGCCTCCTGAGTAGCTGTAGGCACATGCCACCATGCCCAGCTGATTTTTGTGTCCACCACCATGCCTGGCTAATTTTTGTAATTTTAGTAGTGACGGGGTTTCACCATATTAGCCAGGCTGGTCTTGAACTCCTGACCTCAAACAATCCACTCACTTCAGTATGTATCCACCATTACAGCATAAGCCAATCTACCTGGCCCATCCTTTCACTGTTAATGGATTAATGGGTTCTCATAGAAATGGGACCAATGGCTTTTATTTACTGATTTATTTTTTGAGACGGACTCTTGCTCCATCGCCCAGGCTGGAGTGCAGTGGTGCAAACTCGGCTCACTGCAAGCTCCATCTCCCGGGTTCACGCCATTCTCCTGCCTCAGCCTCCCGAGTAGCTGGGACTACAGGTGCCCGCCATCACGCCTGGCTAATTTTTTTGTATTTTTTAGCAGAGACGGGGTTTCACCGTGTTAGCCAGGATGGTTTCGATCTCCTGACCTTATGATCTGCCCACCTCGGCCTCCCAAAGTGCTGGGACTATAGGCGTGAGCCACTGCGCCCAGGTGGGACCAATAGCTTTATAAGGGGAGAAACTGAGCCAGCACTCTCAGCCCCTTTGCCATGTGATGCCCTGTGCCACTTTGGGACTCTGCAGAGACGGTCCCAGTGAGAATGCTCTCATTAAATGTACCCCCTCAACCTGGGACTTCCCAGCCTCCAGAACTATATAACTATATAGTTATAGAAACTCTATAACTATATAATTATAAATAAATTTCTCTCTTTATAAATAACATAGTTTCAGGTATTACAAGCAAAAGAAAACTGACTAAGGTGTGGTAGGTCAAAAGAGGTAGAGAGACCAGATCATTTTCAGACTGTAATTAGAATGTGCAAAAAAGCCCTAGTTAAGAATAAAAAATAGGCCGGGCGTGGTGGCTCATGCTTGTAATCCCAGCACTTTGGGAGGCCGAGGCAGACAGATTACCTGAGGTCGGGGGTTCAAGACGAGCCTGACCAACATGGAGAAACCCCATCTCTACTAAAATTACAAAAATTAGCCGGGCATGGTGGTGCATGCCTGTAATCCCAGTACTTTGGGAGGCCAGGAGTTTATGACTAGTCAAAGCAACATAGTGAGGCCCCCGTCCCCACAAAAAAAAATTTGTTTATTTTTTTGAGACAGAGTCTCACTGTCACCCAGGCTGGAGTACAGTGGCATGGTCTCAGCTCACTGAAACCTCTGCCTCCTGGGTTCAAGCGGTTCTCCCACCTCAGCCTCCCGAGTAGCTGTAGCTGGGACTATAGGCGTGTGCCACCACACCCAGCTAATTTTTTTTTTTTTTTTTTAGACGAAGTCTCGCTCTTGTCGCCTAGGCTGGAGTGCAATGGCACGATCTCAACTCGCTGCAACTTCTGCCTCCCAGGTTCAAGCGCTTCTCCTTCCTCAGCCTCCCGAGTAGCTGAGATTACAGGCGCCTGCCACCATACCCAGCTAATTTTTGTATTTTTAGTAGAGACGGGCTTTCACCATGTTGATCAGGCTGGTCTCGAACTCCTGACCTCAGGCAATCCACCTGCCTCGGCCTCCCAAAGTGCTGGGATTACAGGCGTGAGCCACCGTGCCCGGCCTAATTTTTGTATTTTTAGTAGACACGGGGTTTCACTATGTTGGCCAGGCTGGTCTTGAACTCCTGGCCTCGTGATCCACCTGCCTTGGTCTCCCAAAGTGCTGGGATTACAAGCATGAGCCACCGTGCCCAGCCTAAAAAAATTTTTTTTTAATTAGCCAGGTGTGGTGCCATGTGCATATAGCCCTAGCTACTTGGGAAGCTGAGGTGGATCACTTGAGTCCAGGAGATCAAGGTTACAGTGAGCTACGATGGCACCACTACACTCTAGCCTGAGTGACAGAATGAAACCTTGTCTATAACAGGAAAAAAAAAAAAATTTAACTTAAAGATTTTTGGTCAGGCACGGTAGCTCACGCCTGTAATCCCAGCACTTTGGGAGGCCGAGGTTGG